GCACCTAGCCCAGGGCCCAGGAAATGAGAGCTGTTACCGTTGTACCCTGCCATCCCTTCAAGATTGAGCAAGACCAATTCGTGTCTCCAAGTCTTTGAAGACGTCACACCGAAGGGCTGCTGTACATGGGCGCTTTCCCGCCAGTCTCCTAGGAGGAATGGTTTGGCTGCTTCCATTTTTACCTTGTTATAAATAGCTACGTGGTGCGTACTGTTGGGAGCACAGCTTTACCTCCCCCGGATTTTAGAGCTTTTTCTTTAAGATTATTTCTCAGAAGCGCGATCACTAGGCCAAAGGGTAATAAGCAGTTTTGAAGTTTCGTGTTCCTCACGCCTGATTGTACGAAACAGGTGCTAGTTCCTGTACCCACCTCCCGCACATTCTATTCCAAGAACCTCCCTGCCGCCCACCAAAGGAGTCTTCTCACCCTCCCTGGCACCGACACCTGGTGGCTTCCTGTCTACCACCCTCCTCTCCTTCAGGTACAGAGCTCTGTTCCCTACGGCTGCCTGAGCAAGTGCTGCCTGTACACACTGTCCCTGCCACTCCTGAGGTCAGGGAAGAAGTCCTGGGCTGCTTGTCCTTCCCCACTAGGCAAACAGTACTGACTGCGTCCCCATGTTGTGTATTATTCATTGGCCAAAATGAGGGTCTGCTCAACCAGGTGCTCAGGGATGGTATTTGTTGAATGAGGCCGTGGTGGCCCTGAGCAGGTCACCACAGTTCTAACAGGCAGAGTGATTCTCGGTGGTCACACCAAGGCTGTCTGTCCCTTGGGATGGCCACAGCAGGGAAATGGATGGGTCATGCTGAAACACCCACACACATGACAGGCACTCTGTCAATACTGATTAGTGAATAAGGGCCAGTAGCAGTGAAGGGAACTCTAACCTCAGCTTCCCTGTCCCCTACACTATCCTTTAAGTTGCTGAGAAGTGAGTCTTAGGTCCAGATCTGGCAGTACCTTTGATTCACGACGATCTTAAGCCAGAAAGAGCAGCACCCTTCAAAAAAGACATTATCCCCACTTCCGTGCATTTCCACAGTATCGATAATGAGCATGAATTATCTTCATAATAAGAAACAGACAAGTGGGCCCGGCAGCATGGCCTAGAGGCTGAAGTCCTCACCTTGAACACACCAGGATCCCATATGGGTGCCGGTTCTAATCCCAGCTGCTCCACTTCCCATCCAGCTCACTGCTTGTGGTCTGGGAAAGCAGTCGAGGATGGCCCAGTGCCTTGGGACTCTGCACCTGTGTGGGAGACCTGGAAGGAGTTTGTGGCTCCTGGCTCCTGGCTCTGGATCGGCATAGCACCAGTGGTTGCGCTCACTTGGGGAGTGAATCATTGATGGAAGATCTTTCTCTCTGTCTCTCCTCCTCTCCATATACCTGACTTTCCAAAATAAATAAATAAATAAAAAAGAACATCTTAAAAAAAAAAGAAACAGACAAGTAAGTAAAGGCAGGGGGCAAAATACCTCTGTCTGAGAAAGCTGGGGCTTGTAGAGGGCTGGCTTGTGCTTGGCTTAGGCTTGCTTTGGCACTGGCCATTTGCGGGCCCACTTGGAGATATGCCCCAGGGTCACGAGGGTGGGGGAAGAGCTGCAAGGCTGCAGGGACACACACAGGATGCACTCTGCAATACTGACTTGGATGTTGTATGTGTAGTTTCCAAGGAAGAGGACCTTCCAAAGGATAGCCCCAATGACAACAATGAACCAAGGCATGGGGGGCAGGATGGCCACCTCACAAGGACCAACAACCCTCAAGAACATTCCACCCCTGAGAATAACTTGCTGAGGTGTGCAGAGACAGTGACCAATAGGACAAGCCCTGCCTTGCCCCTCCCCAAGCCCACCTTCACTCCATCCCAAAGCAGCAGAGAACAGCCCCTCCTGTCCCAGCCTCCCACCTCTGACTGCTAGATCTACAGCTAAGGACCTGTAGTACCTGACTCTGCAGCCTCCCTCTGCCTCCTTAGCCACTGTCCAAGGCTTGGAGTCACACTGCTATCAGCTTTTCCCCCAGGGGTCCCCTGAAAAGCCAGGAGACTGCTCTCCTGTCCCAGTAAGCACTGAATTCCTGATTTAACTTCTTCCATGAAAGAGTGTAGGGCCTGGAAGCTTGCAGGCTCCTGGCAGGAGAGATGACACTGGTTAGGCTGGGGGAGGGGAAACCGCACCTGAGTGAGAACTCCTTGGGAGGCGACTACTTAACAAGATGAGGGCTGAATAGCTGGAAGGGAAGAGAAAGGTTAGAAGTTAGAGGCCAATTGGTCAGAAAGAGGACATCTGTGTTACACCAAGGCACTTGAGTTTTAGAAAGACAGTGTGTTGTTGGCATAGAAGGTTCCGGAGGAGCATTATGCTTAGGGAGATCATGCTGCAGAGCATGACTGAGGGAGGTGAGAGCGGATACTGATGTAAACAGTCCCAGGTAGAACCAGCTCCATGACCCTGTGCAAATGTAACACGCATTGTTTATATGTCTAAATTCCTCTTCCTGCTGGCTCCCGCCTCAGCCTATCCCTAGGGTTCTGCCAGTCACCCCACTTATAAATGCTGGTGTCACCTAGACTCCCCTCCCCGCTTCCCACTGCTTCTGGCAATTGGCTTTCTGAAGATTTCTCATTGGTCTCTGTGTTCTCAGAGCTGCCATTAAATTCAGCTCAGGCCTGGATTACAGCTGACTCTAGACCTGACTCCCTTGGTAAATAAAACACGCCTTTCTCTGCAGCATCGGTTCAGTGATGTACTCAGGAGGTTCACCTGACCAGATTACCACAGATCCCCTCAGCAGGGACTGCTTTGGGACCACTTGGAACACACGGTGTGTATCTGTTGGGAGTAGAGGGACTCATGGCACAGTAGGTTAACCTACCACCTGGTGATGACAGCATGCCACATGAGTCTAGTTCAAGTCCCAGCTGCTCCACTTCCATTCCAGCTTTCTGCTAAACACCTGCCACTTTTGTGGGAGAGCTGGATGTAGTTCTTGGCTCCTGACTCCAGTCTGGACAGGATCTGGCTACTGTGGCCAATCGAGGGGTGAACCAATGGTTGGAAGATCTCAGTTTCTCTCACTGCTCTGCCCTTCAAATACATACATTCGAGAGGATGGCGGGGGTGAGGGAAGGGCCCTCTGCCCCTGATGCTACTGAATTCTTTACTAAATACTAGGAAGGCTGCTATCTCCTACATATCACTAACACACACACACACACAGAGTTCTTCTCCCCCATAATACCCTTTGCCTCCATTTCCTCTACTAGGAATGCCCACCACCTTCCCCTTCATAGTCTGGCTGATGTCTTAGGAGTTCACAAGCCACCCCCTCTACCCTCCCCGGGTGCTCTTCTGCACTGTCCATGGGACCTCAGTGGGCCTGTGACTGGGCCAGGCTTCCCCTATGGGCTGGACACAGCTCATATCGGCGTCACCAGCACCTAACACAAAGCTTGGCCCACACGGGAGACCCCTTTTATAAGCTGGACTGTTCCAGGCAGGGTTGGAGAAGCGGGAGAAGGTAGATAGTGCTGGTAACACAACACGTCAGAGAAAGAGCAGGTGGGACCAATCACGCCCAAAAGAAAAAAAAATCCCCCCATATCCCATCTTCATCAAGACCCCACAGGCAGAGTGAAAGCGGCTGTTCCTAGGGGCAAGGCTGGCTATCCTGGTGCTCGGTGATGACGTGGGATTTCAAGTTTTGATTTCTGCTTCCTTCTAAAACTTCATTCCCTTGTGGGAGCTGTCAAAGAGGACCTGAGTGATGGAGGAGGGCACGCCCCAGGCAGGCTGACAATAAAACACTTGACAGTGGGAAGGGGGACAGAGACCCATCTCCCTCCCATCCTTCCTGTGGCAAACAGCTGGCACTTCCTGAAGGCTAGGCAGCCCCGGGGGTGGGAAGCTCCTGGCAAACTGGTGAGAGCAGACAGCCTGGATTACACTAGATCCACACGTAATCCCCCAAATCCAGAAGCCACCTGGACAGCAGTTGGGGGGGGGCACAAGCTCCCTGGTCTGCTGCTGCCCCCATTCACAGCAGGCTTTCCCGAGGCCAGCAGGGGGTTCTTCAGAAAAGCACCCCATTGTCGCAATTACGGCTTAAGGGGAGGGGGTAGGTAACAGAATCCCCACAGTGCAGAGTCCATTGGAAGCGGTTAGTTAGCTGCTGGCTCGGCTCCCTTCACCTGTTAAGTACGAGAATTTTAATAAGGAAACTTTTGTTGTTGTTAACATGCGCAAATGTGGAGAAAACCACCGACGCCCAGCACCTATGGCCAGGCCCCTGTCACCTCCTGAGGCAAACGTTGGGCCCCACCTCCTTGCGCGGAAACACCACGCTGGTGACGGGAACCCGCGACGGACTCAGGTGGGGGGTGTGGGAGGCCAACCGCCCCTGCGCCGTCCTGCCCTGCCCAGCAGGTCCCCAGCGCCCCCAGTCTGGGAAGTTAACAGTCGGACTGCGCCGCGCCGGCCCACCGCCGCCTCTGCTTCCGCCGCTTCCCGCGCAGACTAGGTCACCTCAGCGCGGTGGCGTTCCCGACCCCCGCACCCGCAGCCCGGGTGATGCGCGAGTGAGTCCCTCGGCGCAGGGCCACCGAGAGCACGGGGCGGCGCCGGCCACTTCCTCCTTGCGAGCTGACTAAACCGCCCGCCAGCCCAGCGCGTCCCACTCCCGACGCCCCGCCCCGGGGGGGCGTGGAGATACCCATATTTGGCCTTATATGGGCAGCCACGTCACAGGCCGTGCACTCATTCATATAAAACGCCGCGCCGCCGGCGGAATCCCCGGCTTCTGGGGTTGGGCGGCGAGTGGCCGGGCCGGGCGCCTGTCGTGTGGGGCGGGAAGGGAGCGCTGAGCCGCCCCCCTCAGGCGCCGGGCTCCGTCGGCCGGGCCGCACACCCTGCCTAGCCCGACCCCACCCCACTCCGAGCGACCCTCTCGAGCCTCGCCCGCGGGCATCCTGGCCGTGGGCACCTGCGGCGCGGGGCCGCTGGGCAGCGGCGGCATGAAGGTCACTTCGCTCGACGGGCGCCAGCTGCGCAAGATGCTCCGCAAGGAGGCGGCGGCGCGCTGCGTGGTGCTCGACTGCCGGCCCTACCTGGCCTTCGCCGCGTCGAGCGTGCGCGGCTCGCTCAACGTCAACCTCAACTCGGTGGTGCTGCGGAGGGCGCGGGGCGGCGCGGTGCCGGCGCGCTACGTGCTGCCCGACGAGGCGGCGCGCGCGCGGCTGCTGCAGGAGGGAGGCGGCGGCGTGGCGGCCGTGGTGGTGCTCGACCAGGGCAGCCGCCACTGGCACAAGCTGCGCGAGGAGAGCGCGGCCCGCGTCGTGCTCACCTCGCTGCTCGCCTGCTTGCCGGCCGGCCCTCGCGTCTACTTCCTCAAAGGTGAGTGCTCCGGCCGGACCCCTCCTCCTCCTCCTCGGTCGGTTCGCGGGCCGCGAGGTGCCTGCCGCGGAGGTCCTGCGCTCTGGGGCCCAGGGGATGCGGGGTGACCCGCCCGCGCGCTCCGGTGCTGGACGTGGCACTGGGAAGGAGCAGCCTCGGGGCAGCGCTGGGCGCTTCTCCGTTCGCCACCTGCGTTCCTCGAAAGCGCCTGGCGGCCGCTCTGCCCGCCGGGTCCGGAGAGGCAGGCTGTGCTGTGGAGCTCGCGGGGAGCGCAGGCTCGCGCCAGGCTCTCGTCCCGTTTCCAGGCTCGGACTGGCTGCTCTCGACAGGGGGGCAAGGCTCGTAGCCTGCTGGATCTGCGGGTCGCGACCCCATACCGCCCCTCTTCCCCCGCCTCCCCGGAGCGTGGCGCCGCAGTGTCCCCCTCCTCCCGCCCAGGCGTTGACTGCCTGCTGCCCCTCTTGCCTTTTCGACCCCAACTGGCGAGTCCCTCCCCTTCCTTTCCATTGCATTTTATTGCTTCTTACTGCTCTCCTCCGGCGCCCTCTTTCTCCCCCTCCTAGGGCTTTCTCAGCCTCAGTTTGGAGCTGTCAGCCTTTCCCATCGTTCATGCTTCCGTCTCCCCACTCAGGGACTGCCTTGGTACTGGTCCCAGGCGACGTGCCACGGGGATAATCCCTGACCTTCGCTTGGAGCTGCCACCAGGCCTGCCCTTTTCACCTGCCTGGGAGACAGCTTTGGCTTCCGGCGGTTCTTGGGAGAGTGAATGACTGTCACACTCCGGAGCATTGATTTTTGGGGTCACTTCCTGTGACTGCACCTGCTCTTTATTTAAGTTCTCAGATGTGTACCAAACCTGGCCCTGCTGCAGACAGGGGAGTTTAACCCCTGCCCGCCTGGATTAGGACAGCGTGAGCTGTCGCGGTGAGAGCCAGCCGGGTGCAGTTAGCGGAGAATTAGGATCCTGCTTTAAAGCTGGGCAGTTTGGGTTGTTTTACACATTCCAAGGCACCTGGGTGGCTCCCTCCCCCTCTTAGCACCTCTGGGCCCCCTGTCTCTTGTTGATTCCTGTGGAGGAAATGACAGCTGGAGATGCTAATCTCGCTTCTCTCCCCAGGGAGCGGTGGCCGGCTGCCTCTTAAGCCCGGTGGAGATAATGCGTGGGGCTCCGGGTTTCATCTCTTCCTGCTGTAATTTTGTCTCCTGTTCTTAGTAGCCTAGAGGACAGGAAAAGCTTTCCCTGCCTCTGGCGTGAAAGATGAATCCCAGGAAACCCTTCCTGGCTTGGTCCCTGCTTTCTGCCTCTCTCCTTCAGGGGAGCCGTGCCAACAGCTAAGTGACACCAGGCATGTCCACTCCCCAGAGATGGCCTCAAGGATCTTGCAGACATGGGTAGCTACCCTGTTCCTGCCTGGGTAGCCCACTAGATCCTGGAGACTTGTCCTTGGCAAAATATGATGCAGATATTTCCAAGAGTTAATGGAAAGATGGAACGAAGAGAAATATGTTCTGCTGTCAGACATGTTTGAGGTCTGTACGTATGGGCCTTGTCCCGACCTGTTGGAAGGTACCTAATACAGGTTTGATTTGTATAGCCAGACCCCTGGTGCTGTTGTGTTGCTTCTGGCCTCACCAGTCACTGTGGGAAGTCGTGGGTGGAGCCTGACGTTGTCCAGAGGCTCTTGCTGGCCATCACCCTGAGAAGCTGAATTGTTGCTATTTGAAAGGCAGAGTTAGAAAGAGAGGAAAGGAGAGATCTCTTTGCTGGTGCTCTCCCCTAATGACTGGGGCTGGGCCAGGCAAAAGCTAGGAACCAAGGTCTTGGTGTGGGCCTCCCACACAAGTGGCAGGGTCAGGCACCCAGGCCACCCTCCCCACTGCTTCCCCGGGCTTACTGGCAAGGAGCTAGATAGGAAGTAGAGCAAGCAGGACCTCATGTGGTGCTCAGTGTGCTAGGTGGCAGCTCAGCTCACTGCAGCGCAGTGCTCACATTTCTAGCTCATGACCAGGCGCAAGGTCAGTTTTTCATCTAGTGGCATCTCACATCTTGGCACGGGGAGTTGGGGGAAGCAGTGCTTTTTACACGTAATCACTTCCCCTCCCAAAAAAACGACTTAAGATGAGATGGTGAGCTCCAAATCATGTGGCCTTGTGTATTTGTATATAGTGCCCTGTCCTGCGTCTGTGTCCTGGCACCAGGAGGCAGCGGTCACAGAAAGCAGACCCACAAGGATCAGCAGGCGTCTGTCGGTGCAGGTGCAGTAGCTGAGAGGAATGTTGTGTCTCTCCACACCTCTGGCAGAGGCGGGGGAAACCAGAGACCATTTAATCTCAACAGCTCCTGACCCCAGCTTTGGCGGGGAGACAGGGCTAGCTGTTTATGTGTCGTTCAGATATTGTGAGGCTCTTTGCCTGCCTGCCTGCCTTATTTCAGCAACAGGCAGGCAGGATCCAGCCCAGTCCGACCCAGCCCACACACAACCGCCTCCTGCCCATTCTGACAGCAGACAGACTCGGAAGTGCTCTGTGGAACAGGCCTGTAAGCCTGCTGTTCTGAGCAGCATCCTGGAATGTGGGAGGCTCTGGTTGGAACCAAATTTCCATCCCAGACCACCTACCCTCCTCTCCTGGAACCTGAGCTGGGAGTAACCCGAGTGCCTGGAGCTGGAGGGTGGGGGAGGGGAATCCCAGCCTGGAAAGCCTCCCTCCCCTTTGCAGGCTAGGATCCCTCAGTCCTCCTCTGGCAGGGCATCCATGTGGTTTTCCTGGGGGCTCCATCAGCCCTTCTGGGAGGGTGCTGGGCTGTTGTTGAAGGGAGCACTGGGCAGAGTGGGTCTGCTAAATGGGGGCGGGGCAGTGGCAGCAGGCAGAGAGGAGGCAGTTATGGCAAGATGACTCATTCTAGGAATTGGCTGCAGCCTCTGGGAGGGAGTTGGAGGCTGCTGGGTAATCTGTTAACCATTTGTCAACCACAGGCTTCTGAAAAAGTCAACATGCCTCCCCTGGCCCCCCACCCAGGGTCAGATCAAGAGACAGAGGGGAAAAGGAGGTCTCTGAGGAATCTGTGTGGTCTCCTGATGCATATTTAATTACTTGACACCCAGTGAGTGGATGGATTTCCTGGGCCAGAAAAAGGCAGTCTTCTGGAGACTTGGAGTGCCTGGGGTTGCTTTGCATTGGGGGAAAGGATCATAGGGGTTCTCAAGTGGACAGGCTGACCTGTTTTGACCTGGCACCTGTGGCCTTGTGAGGTCTCTAGCCCATTGCCATTTGGCTCTTCCAGTCTGGGATATTATGGGTATAAGAAAGCACCTTTACCGTGCAACTTGGTGTGACTTCGAGGGTGGCTTTCGTGCTAAGTGGTCGGAGTTTCGATGTACCAGTAAGATTCTTACTGTCATACAAGGCTGAAGTTGCCATACCATGTGAATTTGAGGCATGCAAGGAGTGTAAAGGAGTGTTGTGGAGTTGAATGGGGAGGGGCTGAGAGTTAAATTCCGAGGTTCCCCTGTTGCGGTTTGATGGTTGAACCTCCTACGGAAACTCCTTGCCTTCTGAGTGGAGGCCCGGGAAACAGTGCAGGGGTTTCTCTTCTCACAAATGAGTGGACTTTTGCATAATCACACCTCATTTAGATGAAAAGAAAATCGCTGTTGTTTACTGGAGGGATTTGGTTAATATTTCCCAAATCCTAGATCCTTCCTTCCTCTGTGGAAGTGGCTTGTGACACAGCCAGTTAATCATTGCCTCTGTGAGACACTGCTATGTGTGTACAGATCCTGTTTTTGTTCTAAAACTGTCTGGTTTGGGGCCAGGCGCGGTAGTCTAGTGGCTAAAGTTCTCGCCTTGCATGCGCCAGGATCCCCTATGGGCACTGGTTCTGGTCCCAGAAGCCCCACTTCCCATCCAGCTCCCTGCTTGTGACCTGGGAAAGCAGTCAAGGATGGCCCAAGGCTTTGGGACCCTGCACCTGCATAGGAGACCTGGTGAAGGCTCCTGGCTTTGGCTCAGCTCCAGCCGTTGAGGCTGCTTGAGGGCTGAGTCAGTGGATGGAAGATCTTCCTCTGTCTCTGCTCCTCTCTGTATATCTGACTTTCTAATGAAAATAAAATAAATGTTTTTTTTAAAAAAAAACGTTGGTTTTGTTCAGTTTTTTCACATGTCTATTGGCTTGTTTTTGCTCTTCCACATTGAGGGTATTTAGTGGCAGGCTGACAGCCAGTGCTTGCATCTGTCTCACGTTTTGTTGGCTTCTCTCACAGGCGGATATGAGACCTTCTACTCGGAATATCCTGAGTGTTGTGTAGATGTACAACCCATTGCGCAAGAGAAGATGGAAAGCGAGAGAGCCTTGCTTGGCCAGTGTGGAAAACCAGCGCTTGGCATCAGCTACCGGCCGGCTTACGACCAGGTGTGTGGAGTGGGAGATGCATGCTGGGCTCGCTGCCACGGTGACGCCTCCCTCGTGGCCTGGCACTCCCTCCCTCTGCCAAGCAGCAGAGGTGTTAGTTCTTCTGTGGATCGAGGTGTTGGCAGAGTCCCCTTGCTCTGGAGGGCCTCTGCCGCTTGCCAACTCGCCATCCCATCCAAGAGTAATTGGGCGTCCTTCCAGAAAACAGGAGCAGACAAACCTAGGATGCTCGGCCTCGAGTGAGAGCTGCATTCTTAGTAGCTGGCTTGAGGGGGCTTCCAAGCTCGGAGATGCTCGGTCAGGGTCCTGCTTGCCACCTGTCCGGATTTGGTTGGGAATTATAATTGAAGCAGGGGAGGTCACTGTTGTCTTCATGGCCAGACTTTCAGACTTTCCAGTTCTGTGAATTCTGAAACCAGAGGAGGTCAGGAGATGTTACATGGTCTTCATGTGTCTGTAAACATGGTTTTCTTTCTCTCTCTCTCTCTGCCTCAAAAAAAAAAAAAAAAAAGCTGTACTTGGAGACAGCTTGGCAGAAGGCTCACCAGCTCCAGGCAGGAGGAGAAGGGAAAAGCAGGTGAGAATACCAACTGTGGTCGAAGTGAGAGGGCAGAACCCACCAGAACCCACCTTGCCTTGCTGTTTAGGGGAGAGGAGGATGAGCACACTGCACCCCCATGGCTGCTTCCTCGGCAGCTTTGTGCCCAGAGCCTCCCGGGCCTCATCCCTCCAAGACCTCATGCTCTTTGCCACAGGTCTTCTGCACTATCCACCTGCTGGGTTGGAGGGCTTTGTCTTCCCCAAAAACTGAAGGGACAGGCACATGAGAATAAGGGAGCTTTCCTCAAAGCTGTGCAGAACGGAGGCTCCTGCTATGAGTGTCGCGCAGTGCCCTGGGTGGGTGACCCGCTCTCAAGTGGAGCCTTGCCCGGATTGGCATCCTGCTGTTTTCTCTTGTTCAGAATCCTCATGGTGTGTGATAAGCATTTGGTTTTCAGGCTGTGGGCATCCAGCTTAGCTGCATTTCTGTGTCTGTTTGTTTGGGTTATGTCCACACCCTCCACACCCCCACTCCCAGTTTCTGAGAAAGTGAAAGAGAAATAGGAATTAATTGGCAGTGCTGTGAAGGCACAGCTGACCTTTGGCTGAGGGCTGGGGAGGAAGTCCTGACACATCTTCCAGATTGATGGGGAACCCCGAGGATGACTTCTTAGAAATGCTTCTGCTCTGAGAGGAGCAAGGCTGGGTCATGTTTTACGTCAGTCTTAAGGGTTTAGCCTCAGGAGGCTAAAGCTGAGAACTCCGAAAGGGAGAAGCTAGTTTCGAGGGTGTAGTGGGCTAGGCCCCAGAGGAAACTGGATGGGCTCCCAGGTCCTCTGGAGAGGGAGAGCTCTTGACTGAGTCAGCCGCCTGACCTGTTCCTCCAGGGGCGAGGCCATTGTGCCCGCCAGTGGGGACCTAGCGCCAGGCACTGGCCCAGGGAAACCACACTCGGGTCTTTGACCTCTTTGCCAAGAACTCTGGGCGACCTGTTATTCTGAGAGGACAGTTGTTACTACCCTTGGTTTACAGATAGGGGTTCAGAGGTTAAAGGAGCTACTCAAGGTCGCTTCAACAAGTGGTCCAGCCAGGACTTGATGCAGAGCTGTTCCGGCTGAGGGCTGAGCCTGACACTCTGTCCAGAAGGAAGTCAGGATATGAGCAGGCATTTTATCTTGAGGGGCAGACAGGGAGGAAGGGACTGCTGCTTTCCTGCCTTTACCTCTAGTTCTTACTTTCTTGCACTGATCACTTGACATGGAGTCAGGCAAGCTTATCTCAAGGATCCGATTTGGGTGTCAGTTCCAACTCTAGCAGTGCCTAGCTCTGTTGTGGGCAAGTTTTCTAATCCCTCCGAGCCTCTAGTAATCCATCTGTAAAATGGGACTAACGGTATCTACTTCTTAGATTTGTTGTAAATTAGTAGAGGGTAAGTATGCTGGAAGTATCACACCGAGGTGCTATCCCTAGTAGATGCTGCAGAACGGGCGAAGGGTGGATTGTTGTTGTAACCTCCTGTAAGATGCTCTACAACTTTCTTCCCAGTGGCCTGATAGGCTTTTGCTTAAATACTTGTGGGGGAAGGAAACACAAACTGAGGGCTCTGAGTCCATTGAGAGCTGCCTGCTCATGGCTCTTGTCCCCTGCCCCCTTTTCTATTATGAGCCTGCCTGGTTGAGAGTTTCCATTTAACTCTTAACTACAGGACAGGAAATGGAAAGACAGGAAGTGGAAGGATGGGATGGGAAAGGCTTGCAGAGACGAAGTCACTGGCCCCCAGCCTGGGATTTCCCCCTGAATCTCCAGGGCCTCCCATTGTTCCAGCTGTCGGTCCCTTTTCAGTTCGGCCTTGGCTATTTGATCTCTGGTTCTGCCTTAATCTGGCCCCTTAACCAGGAACCTGGTGTGTGGGTGTGCTCCCCGAGGGGGACGAGGTAAGCATCTCTCACCAACACCCTCTTTCCCTGTGTAAGAGGAGAAGGTGGGGGAAGCCCCTTGGCTGTGGCCCAGCAACTGCTTACCTTCTTGAGTGGGCAGTGATTCCTTTCAGTTCTAAGAGGGCGTGCTTTTTCCAGAGGGTGGCACGCAGTTGAGCTAATGTCTGAAATCTGGAAGCATCTTCAGATCCGCAGTGTCTTATATTTGATGAAATGCTAGATAAAATAGCAGGTATTTATCCTAGCAGTTCAAACTCCCCCATTATGTACTAGAATATTTACATTTGATGCCCAGCTGTGGCTCCTGGCTTCATCTTCCCTCTGAAGCCAACCCTGGGACACAGGGTATGACTCAAGTGGCCGGTTTCCTAACACCCACTTGGGAGACATGGATTGCTTTTTTGGCTCCTGGCCTTGGCCTGACCTCGTCCTGTTACTGTGGGCATATGGGGAGTAAGCCAGGGTGTTTGAACACCCCTGAGAGCAACCCAGTGTTAGAGCTGTGGAAGAATTAGTTTGCCTGTGGAGCCCATCTCCACATGAAGAAACCAAGGCTGCCTTGAGGTTAACGGGCTTGACCTGGGGACGTTCAGGGCAGCACGAGCACCCTGTTGTTGACCCTTATGTACTTAAAAGAAAATTAAACTCCTTGCTCTGTGGGTTCTGCTGTCCGTGGGTCCCAAGCAGTCATGTTGAGAACCAGCCAAGCTGCAGGTGCCACCCACGCTCGTGGTTGAACCACCCTGCCTCCGAACTCCCTCTGCCTGGGAACCAGAGTGGGGACCTCCCACCTAAAGAGGCAAGTAGGTCAGAGCTGTTGTCTTTGCTTTCCCACAAGAGCAAATGGAGCTCATATTTCCTGCCTGTCTCTTTGTCCCTGCTTCCAGGGCAGCCCCGTTGAAATCCTTCCCTTCCTCTATCTGGGAAGTGCCTACCATGCCTCAAAGTGTGAATTCCTTGCCAACCTGCACATCACGGCCCTGCTCAACGTCTCCCGGCGGGCCTCTGAGGCTGGCGCCACGCACCTGCACTACAAGTGGATCCCCGTGGAAGACAGCCACACAGCCGACATCAGCTCGCATTTTCAGGAAGCAATAGACTTCATTGGTAGGTTTGGCTGGGAGCCCCCTGAGTACCAGGTCTTGGCTCTGGATGTTCTAACGGGGCCATCTTCGATGCAAGAAGGGAGATCTTGTACATGGATCTGCTAGGAGGTGGAGCTATGAAGGCATGCAGCCGCCAGAAAGGCACAGGGGAGGATTTCAGCTGCAATTAATAGGAGCTTTAATGCGTGAGATAAATGAACTATATACTTTTATGGCAATGCATGCTGCTGCTGTTACTGTGTCCCGCTGGCCAGGAGTAGGGCAATGCCGCGTGTGTGTTCCACGTGGGAGCACTGGGTGGGGGAGGAGCCCCCCAAGCTGCGTCATACGCAGGTTGGGATATTTTTAAAAGCAGACAGAAGGATGGAGAGAGCACTACTTATTAGGCACTCAGCCCCAAGGGCCCGACAGCTTTCCACAGCTTTGGCAAATGACTGGAGGCAATTTGTTTTCATTTTCAGCTAATTTGGGATGAAGGATAAAACTTGAGTTTCATGTGCAGAAAATGTAGCCTCTTCTGCATCCTTCCTGCATGGCGGTGAGACAGTTAGCACTCACTTCACTGAAGAAGTCCCAGGAGGCCTTGACCTCTACCCTACCATGTTCGGGCAGGGCTCTGGCCTGAGTTCCCAGCTCTTCCTGTTGGCTGCAGTTTTCCACCACTGGACAGCTCTTTCTGTGTCCCTCATCCTTGTGACTATGTCTTTCCTGCTAGAATGGGAAGACTTGATGCAATCCAGATGTGATTTTTTTTTCCCTGTATCTTGTTCCACTGGAGAGAGGGGAGGCAGGTGTTTAGCACAGCAGTAATTGCTCAGCAGTGGTAGCAATGAAAGGGTCCCCATTTAGCCAGGGAAAGGCCCTCTGTTCACCAAAGGCAAATGGCCAAGCCTATCCTGGTCCCCTACACTCCTGGGCTGAGATGTAGCCAAAAATGATGAGTTCAGGGTAGGAAACCTGGACTCATTCTTTCAGTCCCTGAGAATGCCTTGCCCTTCTCAGCCTGTTATTACGTTGCCTAGATAGCTACTTCGTGAGGTCATGCAGTGTGCCCCTGGGCAGTTCTCAGAACCCTCCCTCCCCATCCTGTGTGTGTTGTGTCTGTTGTGTGCACAGCCAGTCACACACAGCAAAAACACAGGTGGCTTCTTCCCAGACACTTGCCCCATTAGTGCAAGGAGGGGGCAAGCCACCCCTGCAGGCTAAGCGTGGAAGCAGGCAGCTGTCACCTGTGAGCGGAGGCGGGCTCCTGAGGAGTGGAGGGGGTTCTGGAAGTAGCATGTCCCAGGACTTCCATGCAGCCCTGGGCCCGTTACATTCCATGGGCTGCAGAGAAGTCGGGGAAAGTGGCAGCCACAGCCCTGTCCACTGACGTTCCCCCCTTGGAATCCGTCTACAGGGACCACTGTGCTTTTCTGTCTGGTTTGGGTTTTGTGTGCATCAGACTGAATTGGGGTCACCTCCCATCAGCTGCCCTCCCTAAATGCCCCTTGCAGTTTCCATTTGAAGGAGGAGGACCTGATCTCGTGAATGCTGTGTTTTTGATGTTGGAGGCTCCCTTGCAGACTTCCAGGGTGCAGAGCGGTCCTAGGGGGCTGGCTGCTCCCCCTTTCAGAGTCATCAGTGTTTTTGCTTACTGTGGCCTTCCCTAGTGGCTGCTACATCTGACTTCCTGTGATGCCACTGCTTCCTCATGTACAAGAGAGGGAATTGGAAAGGTCAGATTTTTCTGTGGCTTTGAGTTGATATGTTTAACCTTTTTTTTTTTTTAAGTAGCTATCTCACTGGGTAGGGCAGGAAAGGAAGGGACACCCTCCCTCTCCCCCACAAACTCCCCTTTCTGTCCCACTGAGCCAAAGACTGATAACGCCATGGTAGCTCAATGGCAGTTACTCCCATTGTTGTGCAAGATGGAATTTGCAAAAGCCGTTTATATTCTCCATCCAGCAAGCACCACTTAGCCAGAGCTATAATTAGTGGCCGTGTGCTCATTATTGTATGTTTGGTGGTGAGATCCCTGGGAGCCAAGCCAAGCAGCCCGCCCTGGCACAGGACGACAGGGTGTCTGGGGAGGCCGGAAGGCTGCTACCAGGGTGGGGGCTGGATCAGCAGCATGAGAATCAGGCCTGGAGAGGCAAGACAGGCTGCTCCAGCTCAGCCTGTAAGCCTGGACACTGTTCCATGACAGTCGTGGACACCCAGCACAGGCCTGTGTGTGATTTCAGGGTTTGCCCCAACCACTCTTGAAACAATCAGTGAAGCCCAGGTTGGGGCAGCACCCCCCCCAGGAAGGAGTTTCTCCAGGCCCACCTCCTCATGGGGCACTCAGCAGTAGGGTAAGGTCTGTGATGATGGGACCCCAAAAGCTGTATCCTCACCAGTGGGGATTCAAGTCAGGCAGAAGTACAAGACAGCTTCCCCAGCTCACACACAGACACGATGGATTGTTGATGACAAGGTCACTTCAGGATTTAATGCTGTGCTTTGATTCCAATCCCAACTCTGTTTTCTCCCTTCTAGACTGTGTCAGGGAAAAGGGTGGCAAGGTCCTGGTCCACTGTGAGGCTGGGGTCTCCCGCTCTCCAACCATCTGCATGGCTTACCTCATGAAGACCAAGCAGTTCCGCCTGAAGGAGGCCTTCGATTTCGTCAAGCAGAGGAGGAACGTGATCTCGCCCAACTTTGGCTTCATGGGTCAGCTCCTGCAGTATGAATCAGAGATCCTGCCTTCCACACCCACGCCGCAGCCCCCCGCCCACCAAGGGGAGGCGGTGGGCCCTGCCTTCCTGGACCACTTGCAGACACTGAGCCCTGACATGCAGGGCGCCTTCTGCACATTCCCTACCTCAGTGCTGGCACCGCTACCCACCCACTCGGCTGTCCCTGAGCTCCACAGGAGCCCCGTGGCCACCGCCACATCCTGCTGAAGTGGGCGTGGGGAAGCCGGCCCAGCTCCCAGAGCAACTGTGATTTTGGATTTTGGGACTCGTGGACATTTCATACCTGTGCAATATTGAAGACCTCACTCATCACGCTGCACCCAGTGAGATGGTAGATGGTCGCCAGGCTTGCAAAGGAACTTCAGGCTGACCTCGGGGAGAGGTTCTGGGGACAGAAGGAAGGCCAAGCCATCATGAAGAGCACAATGTGTGCCGACCACTGTACTTCCAAACCCCTGTCCGCCTGCTCAGGATCACCCAGCCCTCGCACCTCCAAGTCTGCCTTTTCATTTCAAGCGTAAGGCAATAAATCCTTGCAGCAACGTGGGAGCAGGAGGAAAAGGCAGTTATGCAGCCAGTTCATCTTGAAGGAAGCACAATCTCCACCTTAGGTTTTTTGAACCTTGGCAGTCTCCGTATCTGTCTGTGTTGCTTCGGAGCATAAGCTGATGACCACCTCGTCGGGAAGGTCACCCTGCTGGACGACGTGATGGATATGCTGGGTGGAACCCCGGAAGGCTTCCACCAAGGGTCTGGTGGCTGAAGAAGCAAGACGTGGGCCTTTCTAGGGGTTTCCATGAACTTTGGACTTGGTGGCATGACTCTTACTCATACTTGAACCTGTCTCGTCACAACTCTTATGTTCTTTGGGAAGGGTTTCCAGACCACAGACCAGTCTTGCCTCTCTGAGGCAGTTGGCGGCAGGTGCTGGAGAGAAGGTACCTGCTGAGGATCACAGGTGGGTGGCGCTGAAAGCCATCTTTTCCTCGACTTGCTGTCCTCTGGATGCTGCTGTTTCGTCCCGTGAGACCCTCGTTTTCTTCCCTGCCTCTGGCGGGGAGTGTTCCTCAAGCTACTGACTTTGGGATTCACAGCTTTTTGCGACGTGGTACTATTTCTTTTTTGGTCTTTAGGTTTCTCCCCGGGGCTGGGGGGGAAAGGCAATAATTTCCTAAAACCCATGCAAATGTGAAGAAAAGCTGTATGTTACTGGTTGTCCTCATTGTTGTCTTTTTTTTATAGTGTGAAATAAAAACAGTAAAAGGAAGAAGCAGTGCCTGCATGTTCTTGGTGCGCCAGGGTTCTCACGATGAAGAGTGCCTGCACGGGGTTTGGTTTAGCAGGTGACTCATCTGGTGATGGGGGTGGGATCGCACGGTCTTCACGGCTCTGTAGAGCTGCGTCCCCACCAAGGGGCGTCCCTCAGCTGACTTGCAAAGGGGTAGTCAGAGGAACTAGCAGCTCTGAGATCTTTATTCCCACCAGGGGTCCAGCTTGACCCTCTCAGTTCCTCCATCTTTGTGGTGAGTGGATTGTAAAGGGATCACCAGCATCCCTTCAAGAGCAAGACCCCTGGCTGAGCCAACTGCGTGCCAAGCTGTGGCATGCCTCCTCCCTGCAGTGCCTGGCATAGAGCGTACACGGAAAAGGGTGGATCAGGGCCAAAGGCTGGAGAAGCGAATCGGGCTAAGGGTAACTTGGAGTATCTGTCCCCCACTTTCTGTCCTCACAGCAAATTCTTGGAAGAGCTCCCAGGTCCTTCCTGCAGTGATGTCAGTTTAGATCCACAGCTGAACTGGCTTGCCTTCTGAGAACTTTCTTCTGCATCAGAGGAGGAAGAAAGTAGCAGTACTGACTGCTGCCTGCGTTGGCTCTGACGCTGCCCATACCACAGCCTTCCTCCTCAGGGAGAACAGACAACTGATAGGAACTGAAGCTACCCCAATGTGCTGATTGCTGTCACAGGGATTCCATCCATACCCTTGAATTCTGGACGACTCAGGCTTCTGGTTCCCTCACTGTACATCGTGTCTGAATAGTTAAGACCACAGAAGGGACTGCTACTGTGGCAGTTCGGGTTAAGTCACTGCCTGAAGCACTAGCATCCCATATGGATGCCAGATTTGTGTCCTACCTGCTGCACTTCCGGTTCAGTTCTCTGCTAATGCAGTGGAGGGTGGCTCAAGTGCTTGGGCCCTGCACCTACATGGGAGACCCAAAAGAAGCTCCTGACTCAGCTCTGGCCATTGCAGTCAGCTGGGGAGTGAATCGATGAAAGAGCTCTTTCTAATTCTGTTTATTCCCCTCTCTATAATTCTTGATTTTCAAATAAATAAGCCTTAAAACAAAAGTGGCAGCAGGGCCATGGGAGTCCATCTCTAAACATCTGGCTTCAAAGGCTGTGCTGGAGGCCTCGCTCCTACCCCCATCTGTGTGGTGCATCCAGTGGAAAACCTGCAGACCAAGAGGCTACCCAAGCTAAAGAGGCTGTTTCTTTAGCAGCTCTCCTCCTCTGTGTAACCTAACAGGCTTTCACAGTGAAGCGCTGCCAGCCCTCGTCCTGCCCCTATAGCCAGTGCCTTGGGGCTAACCCTCCGACTTCTGTGGGCTCGATATCACTTTCTGATCTCAGCCCCTGCTCAGCTTCCAGCGTAGCCTGGAAGCCTTCCTGTTGTATGGGCCTGCACAGGTGCAAGGGGGCTGGAGGGGCCTTGAGAAGGCAGAGTCCTGGAGGAGGAGGAACCTAAGTACAAGCTGGGGTGACAGGCTAAGCCATGTCCCAGTTGCTGACGTTTGCTCTGTTGCATTTCTCTGAAGGATGGATGAGTAAGGCCTCTAAATCAGGCACACAAGGATTGCTCGCTCATAAGCCGGTGAGTCACTGGAGGGTAAACCATGTGAAGCCCCATGGCCGGGCATGGCTCTGTAGCTCGCTTCTCTCCATGGGCACCTTGTTAATTACACTTGCATTTTTAATCTTTTTTTTTTTTTCTGCCAAAATCTGCTTTGCTGGCCTTGAGTGCCAGGGGTTTGAGGAAGCTTTGTTGGCTTCTAGCATCTTCTCATATCGTGCAGAAAAACAGAAATGTTCACCCTCCGGTTTCTTTTTTCTTAAAAATTTATTTTTATTGGAAACTTAGATATACGGAGAGGAGGAGAGATAGAAAGATCTTCCATCCATTGATTCACTCCCCAAATGGCTGTAGCAGTTGGAGCTGAGCAAATCCAAAGCCAGGAGCCAAGAGCCTCTTCCAGGTCTCCCATACAGGTGTGCAGGGTCCCAAGGCTTTGTGCCGTCCTTGACTGCTTTCCCAACCCACAAGCAGGGAGCTGCGCTGCCAGGGTTAGAACTGGCGCCCATATGGGATCCTGGTGTGTACAAGGCAAAGACTTTAGCTGCTAGGCTACTGTGCCAGGCCCCACCCTCTGATTCTTGTTCCATCCGTGGAGGAGACCTTTCCAGTCCATCCTGGCTTCTGAGCTAGTTGCCACGGGAGCAGATGTAGGAACAGCACCAACCCAGTACCTACTGTGCCTGCCAGGGCCCTGTGTGCCCAGATGTCTCCTTGGTGTGGAGACTGGGCAGACTTCTTACCTGCTTCATTATTCCGAACAACTGCACCTCTCAAGTTGCTGGCACTTTTTCTAAAGTTGTGGCCCCTCTATCCCTTTTTACTCAGGCTAATAGGCAGCTCAAAACAAATTTTAGTTTTTTAGAATTTTACGGCATATTTTTTTATATTGACTCACTTTTGTCAACTTTTTTTTTAACTTCCATCTCCTAAGCAACCAAATACAATTTTACTTCCTCCTTTAAAAAAAGAAAGAGATTTTTATTTTTAAAGGCAGATTTACAGAGGAGAAACAGATTCTCCATTTGCTGTTTCACTCTCCAAAAGGCTTTATAATGGTCAGAGCTGAGTTGATCAGGAGCCAGGAGTAGCTTTCTCAGGATCTCTCATATGGGTGTAGGGGCCCGAGGACTTGAGCTATCCTCCACTGCTTTCCCAGGTCAAAAGAAGGAGCTGAAGTGTTAAAGCTGGTACATGAATTGCTGCTTATATGGGATATTGGTGCTCACAGTTAGAGGATTTGCTGTTGAGCCACCATGGCAGACCCTTTGTGCCCCTTTTGAAAATTAAACATGCCATCGCTGGCATTGCCAATCTCAGTCTTCCATACCCATGGGTTCCTTTGCTTTCCCAGAGACTCTACCAAATTACTATAGTCTTTCCAGAATAGATTCTGTCCAGAACTGAAGTCCTGTGACAAGGGCCTGGTTCTTTGCCTTGGGATCTTGGGCACTGCCCTCTACTTTCCATCCTATATGCTCTGCTGCTATTTCCTAGGGATGAAGCCCGGAAGGGGATGGACAGATTGCTGAAAGCTACAATGCACACCCTCCTGAGCCCCACTTGTGCCTAGAGAACCACCATTCTCCCATGCATCTAGCATCAAGCACCTGCTAGAACCTACAATTCCATGAGCAACAAGAGCCCCGTGGCCCCATTCTCATGGAGTTGCTGGGGTCTGATGACTTCACTGGACTTGCTGTCCCACACTGAAGCTGGCCTAAAGCTGCACCAGGATGAAGTTAGTTCGTCGATTTAGCCCTATGGAAACTAGCGGTGCTCTGTCCGCTGGATGTTTGTTTATAGGGAAGAGAGTCTCCTCAAGCCACATTAAGGAAAAGCTTTGTGATCAAGCATAAGGACAAGTGATACAAGTATCATGTACAAACCCTGGCTATGCTTACACTCTGTTCCAGCCTTGCCAGCCGACAGTCCTTGAAACACGCTCTGCTCCCTGCTGCTTCTGGACCTTGCACTGGCTGGCTCCACTGACTGGAAACATCTCTGCTCCACATTCATCCCTTACAACTCCACCACTCTTTCACACCTCAGCTCAAATGCCTTGTTTTTTTTTTTTTGTTTTGTTTTTTTTAAGATTTATTTACTCACTTGAAAGGCTGAGTGAAAGAGAAGGAAAGATGACAAAGATTCTCCATCTGTGGCACCAGACAGCCTGAACTGGGTCTGAAGCCTGGAGGCAGGAGCTTCATTCAGGTCTCGTACATGGGTGCAGGGGCCCAAGCACTTGGGTCATCCTCCACTGCTTTGCCAGGCACATTAGCAGGGATTAGCTGGGTTAGAAGCGGAGCAGTCCAGATTTGAGCAGCTGTCCATAGGGGATGCCAGCACTGAAGGCTGTAGCTTTTACCTGCCACGGCACTGGCTCCATCCAGGGATGTGTTCCCAAACTCCCAGATTTGATCACATCTTCCTGTTAGAACTTGCACAACTACCTATGTTGTTTCTTCATATTTCACCGAAGTTTATAAAGTACTCATCTCTGGTTTGCTTATTGACATGCACATTCTCAAGAGAGTAGGGATCACACTGGATTTCAAAAGTGGCCTTGGGCATGGTCTGACCTGCACTCAGAACTCAGTACTGATGGCATGAAGGAATGCACAAAGGCAGTGTCTGGAAGAGAAATATCCTCATGGGCCGAAGCTGCTACCTCCTTCCAGCCTCTGCGTGTCAGCCCTTGCCACTTGCTCCCCATTCCTCAGAAAACAGGTGTCCTCCATTCATCTCATGGCTGCTTCATTGGTCACAAGCCAGCCTGGGGTGAGCTGTCCTGAGCTCAGGGACAGATGGGTTTCCTCCCAGTCCAGAGTCCTGATTAGTTCCACCCCTAAGCAGGGCAGTTCCTATACTAGAGTTGGAGAGGGTGTAGCAGGCTTGATGACCTTGCACGTGAAAGGCTCGGTTAACGCTGGTATCAGTGTCTGCCAGCAAGGCCCAGGAAACTGCCACCATAACCTTCTCCCCTACTCCGTCCCCCTCCGCCCCCACATGCTAAATCCTGATTTGTTTCCCCACCCTGCTCCCCAGCACACACTCATTCCCTTACACAGTTCACAGAAAGCTAGCAGTCACTAGGATGACCTTTCAAGGGAACTGTGCAGTGAAACTGCTCACTGGGACCACCGGGTGTTCAGAAGGGTCTCCTGCAGATGAAAATGTTGGCTTCTGGCTTCGTTGGGATTCCTACTATGGCATCCACAACATGCAGACCTGACCAAAATCCAGCACTGCTGCAATCTCATGCCAGGCCCACTTGATTGAGACCAGGGATCTGGGAGAAATGGAGGCCAACCAAGTACCACCAGCAGGTAGTCCTGCAGTTCCACAGCTCTGAGATCGAGTTTGTCAGGGCCTGCCTCACAGGAACTTGCCTGCTTCAGTTCCAAAAGGCCCAACC